ACCCCAGGCCTTCAGAACAAGGCTTATGATGACAAGATTTTTCCCTTGGGGCCCCACAAAGTGTGGGGTTACTATCATCACTAATGGCCTTGGATCCCTGGGGGCTATTTACACCCTTTGTACAAAGGAAGAGTTTAGAGAGGCAGGCCCCCTGTCCAAGGTCACCGTGTTCTCCTACCTGGAAGGAGGCAGCTTTAGCCGAGAGAGGACCCCCGCACGGGCCCGGCCGCTCCATGGGTGCTTCCCACCAGAGCTTCTCAGCCACTGGCCAGGAGGTAGCCAAGGACCTGGCACCTCTCATCCCTGGGCTTCCCGCTCCATGACCGGCTGGGGCACGAAGTGACTCATAGGTGTGGGTACCCCTGCCAAGCCTGCCCTGGGCTGGGCCAGAGAGGGGAGGGGGAAGTTGGGGGGATTCCTAAGACCTCGTAGCCTTCTCCCACCCTGATGTTGGGTGAGGGGGGGTGGGGAGTGTGCTGGGAGGCAGGTCTTCCCTGATAGGTCTCTGCTCTCATCCTGGGATCAGCCCAGGGATCTCTCGGCCTCCCTGGCTGTTTTCTGAGCGCAGGACTAGTCAGGACCTCCCTGTGAGTTAAATAACAACCGGCGGAGGTTAAAGGTGAGCAGGCAGAACGGGGTGTGTAGGGAGGGGGCACTTGGGAGACTTCCGGACCTTGGGGCTGGGCTTCCTGCCCAGTGGGGCTGGCTTTATCTGGCCTCTCTTATCACAGCCCACCCCTCTCCTTACCTCTCCTTACCGTTACGGCCGTTTCGCTGGCCCTGCCAAGCTGGGATCCCTGGGGAGGGGGGATAGGACACGGGGTGCCCTTGACCTAAGGCGTCCAAGCCTGCCAGGGTGAGGGCTGTGTCACCAAATCATTTGATCAAAAAGATGCCAGGACACAGACCCAGTCCTCGGCCTGCAGGGTGACATCGAGGGCCTGTCCAGACGAGCTGGCAAAGGCCGTTCCCATTTCCACAGCCTTTCCAGCCATCTGCTTGACCGCTAGCTGACTCACTCCTGCGTTTGGGAGACTCCCAGGTGCCAGGCTGCCTCCGGATGATGCCTCCACAAGGCCCTGCCTTCTGGGAGCATTTATTCCTGGCTCCGCACCTCCCTCCACGGATGGGGATGACACCACATCACCCCAGGGTGCAAGGCTGAAGGGGTCGGACCCACACCTGCCCGGCTAGTCCCAGCCTCCTCTCTGGGGTGTTCTATGGGGAGATGGGGGGGGTGGGGAGAGCTCAGAGCCAGAAGCTCCAGGGTTTAGGGCCTGTTTTGGTTGTTTTAAAATACAGTTTAATTGCATGAGTAAAAATATTAATTCAGGAAATATAAGAAAACACAGAGAAGCATAAAGGACAGAACCACCCCAAATAACCATGGGTAACGTTTCAGTGTGATTGCTTCCATCACACTCCTGCAGAAGCAGGAGATATTTTGTAACCTGCTCTTTCCACCTGTTGTCTTTGTGTTGTTGTTATTGTTTTAATATTTATTTTATTTATTTGGCTGTGCCAAGTCTTAGTTGTGGTACGCAGGATCTTTAGTTGCTGCGTGTGGGATCTAGTTCCCTGACTAGGGATGGAACCCGGATCCCCTGAATCGGGAGCGTGGAGTCTTAGCCACTGCGCCACCAGGGAAGTCCCAATCCACCTGTTGTCTTTGGAACGTCTTTCTGTCATAGTGTATATACTTCGTCCTTTCACGTGGCGTCCCAGCATCCCATCATAGGGCCGTGTTCTACCTGTGCCGCCCAGATCCTGGCCAGCAAGGCAGCATCGCCCATCAGCTTGTTAGAGGTGCCCCACCCAGACCTGTGAGTCAGGGATCGGATGTGCAGTGACTCTGCACGCTCTAACTTATTGAAGCTGATGGAGGTTTATGCTTTTCCACCTTTTCCACAAGCACACACTGGGTGGAGGTAGCAGAGAACAGGGTTGGAGCATGGCCTTTCAGGTTCTAGTCCTGGTGTGGCCACTGTACACTGGGCCACGTGGCTCTTCTGTGTACAGGAAAGAATCAACACGTGCCCTCTCTAGTGGGTCATTCCATGACGTGCTGGCTCCCGTCTTAGAATATACAAGACCAGCTCCTTCCCTAATCCTCCTTTACCATAGATTGCTGCTACTTCTTGTCTTTGGTCCCCTTCCTCCTGTTCTCCAGTGAGCCTACTCCTCTCGGCAGGGCTTCATCCAAAGCAATCCACCCAACAGCTCTTGCCAAAGTCATCACTGAGGTCAGTGTGGCTAAACCTGATGGTCAGTCTTCACCCCCATCTTCTTGGCCCATCGAGAGCACTTGTCTAGGCGATCACTCCCATGTCTCAAAAACACCCTCTGTCTCTTAACTTCTGGAACTCACTCTTCCTATGGTCTCTCTCTCCTTTTTTTTTTTGGCCATGCCGTGCAGCTTGCAGGATCTTAGTTCCCTGACCAGGGATTGAACCCGGGGCCCCGGTAGTGAAAGTGAGGAGTCCCAAACACCGGACCGCCAGGGAATTCCCTCAGTGGTCTCTTACTTCATCTGTTGTCCTCAACTCCCTGACAACATTGAACACTGGAGTGTCCCAGTGGACCACGTCTCCCTACTCCGCTCTTCCCATGTGATCTCATCCTGCATTGGGACTTTAAAAACCACCAGGCTGGCAACTCCCAAAAGTGTGTTTAGACTCTGGGGGGCTCTGAATTATATATATAGTTCAGGTATATACCTGCCAACTCAACCTGGATGTCCATCTGTCAACCTCCCATTTACCATTGAAAAACTGCTCCAGGGACTTCCCTGGTGGTCCAGTGGTTGACTCTGCCTTCCACTGCAGGGGGCACAGGTTCGACCCCTGGTCCCTGGTCGGGGAACTAAGATCCCACAAGCATGTGGCGTGGCCAAAAGAAAAACAAAAACTGCCCGAAAACCACAATCCAGCCTGACCTGCTGCAGCCTTCTCTGTCTCAAGGATGGTAGCTCCGTCCTCCTTCCAGCCAAAGCCTAGGACTCTCAGCTCCTCATTCATTCAAACTCACATCCAATCTGAATGATTTGCCCTCACAATAACCTATACATCCAAGCACTCCTCACCACCAGCTTCATGACCAGCTTGGTCCAAGCCACCATCATCTTCTGCCCAGATTATTACAACAGCCCTAACCAATCTCCCTGCTTCCATCTTTACCTCCTTAGTTTTTCTCAACATAGTCACTGTTTTTTTATTTTTAATTGGTATTTTTTTAAATTTATTTTTTATTGAAGTATAGTTGAATCACAGTGCTGTATTAATTACTGTTGTACAGCAAAGTGGCTCAGTTATGTATATATGTGTGTGTGTATATATATATGTATATATTCTTTTTCATATTCTTTTCCATTATGGTTGATCACAGGGTATTGAATATAGTTCCCTGTGCTCTACAGTAGGACCTTGTTGTCTATCCATTCTGTATATACTAGTTTGCATCTGCTAATCCCAACTCCCAATCCAACCCTCTCCCACCCCTGCCCGCTTGGCAACCACCAGTCTATTCTCTACGTCCCTGATTCTTTTTGTTTCATAGATAGGTTCATTTGTGTCTTCTTTTAGGTTCTACATGTAAGTGATAACATATGTACTTGTCTTTCTCTTCCTGACTTACTTCATGTAGTATGATAACCTCTAGCCGCACCCATGTTGCTGCAAATGGCATTTCGTTTTTTTATGGCTGAGTAGTATTCCACTGTAGATACGTACATCTTTATCCACTCATCTGTTGATGGACATTTAGATTGTTTCCGTGTCTTGGCTACTGTGAATAGTGCTGCTATGAACATAGGGGTACATATATCTTTTTGAATTATAATTTTGTCTGGATATATGCCCAGGAGTGGGATTGCTGGATCATATGGTAGTTCTATTTTTAGTTCTGAGGAATCTCCATACTGTTTCCCACCGTGAGTTTTTAAAAATCATGATTGTGTCCCCCTCTGTAGAGTTCTCTGAAGGCTTCCTAGGCTCAGGGCTAGAATAGATTCTCCTTCACAGCCTCCAGAAGGAAACAACCCTGCCGATGACACCTACAGATTTCAGAAATTCACCTCCAGATCTGAGAAAATAAGTTTGTTATTTTAAGCCACCATGTTTGGCAGCCCCAAGAAACAAATACTAGTCAAGAATTTTTTTCTTACTTTCACTGGCCTTTTGTGAAGCTGTGGTCTAAGTTAATACCTACAAGCAAAGGACAGTTGCGGTAAAAGGTTTTGCCAACGTTCCTTCCCAGGTCCCTCTAAGAGGACTCCCACCCGACAGAATGTAGAATTTGCCTCATACGTGGCTGTCCCCAACTTCAGACTCGCAGGAAATATATCCCCCAGAATGTGCTGCTCCTCCAAGGGTCCCAGCTCTGAACCCTCACGATCCAATCTTCCACTAACTATTCTGTCCTCCTGCCCACCTGCCACCCTAATCCAGGCTACTGCCACCTCCCCAAGCCCCTGGAGATCCTTCAGCTTCTCTGGTCATTTCCTCTCTTGCACCCTCTGTTCAGCAGCCTGAGAAGTTTTGCAAGTTACAGATTTGACTATTGTCATTCCACTGATAAGGAGCCTCTGCAGCCTCCCGTGCTCATGAGTCAAGTCTGAACATGTGTCAGCCACAGCAGACTGTGCCTCCACCCCCACACCCCCCCCCACCCCGGTCACCACTGCAGATGTAGCTCACAGCAGGCCATCTCCAGTTCCCTCAACAGCAGACTGAGCCCCATTTCTCATGTCTCCCCGCTTCCTCGGACACTGAGTGGAGAGGAGGAGCAAGGGAGCATCATGGTACCTGCCCAGTGGGGAGCATGATGGCAAATGTTCTGGAAGGTACTCAAGAGAAAAACAGAGAAGACAAAGTCCTCTGAAGGTATGTCACGGGACATGAACTGGGTCAAAGAAAAGAACCAAGACTTGACAGATCAAATCTCAAAGGTCAGCTACAGGGTTAAGAGCTGGGGGTCTGAACATAGCACAGAGCACACAGTCATTTACTGAAAAAGAGTCAACTTTAATTGTTACTGACCAAACTGCATCCAGGAATGTCTCTGAACAACTGAACAAACACGATAAAATTGTCCTATTGAAGAAACCAAGAGTTTCTGCCAGCCCCAGAGTTTCTGAGGGTTAGGCCAAGAGCAGCCCATTCCCAAGGCTGGTTCTGTCCCCCACGCCAGCTTCTCATCCCGTGAGAAGGGCTGGGGATGGGTGAGGGACCTGTCCCCTCCTCCCAGCATGCTGGGATCTCTTAGAAAGTCACCGGTGGGGTGCGCCTTTCCTCCCATCTCATTCCTGTCCTAAGGTAAATGGAGACCCTCTGGGCATCACCCCAAAAGCCAGGGAACGAAGTGAGGCAGCCCAAGTGCCTTCCCGGACTCTCAGCCAAAGCTTTGTTCCAGTCTGCTCGGTTGGTTCCTGATGCCCAGGGTGGGGATTAAATAAAATATGCACTAGAGAAAAAACTCAAATGCCCCCAAATCTCCACAACACAAGTCACAGAGCAGAAGGAAAAATAAAACAACGGCCCTAATGAGAAGCAGCAGCGGCCGGCCCTCAGAAGACGCGTTCAAACTCCGTCTGGTTGGTGGCGGCGGGATTGCGGCTCTGGTTGGTGGACTGCTGGGTGATCTGGCTGCCCTTCCGGCGCGGTGGTGCTAGGTACTCAAACATGGACGTCAGGTGGGTGGAGAGCATGCCCTTGAGGTCCGAGGGCATGGGGTCGGACCAGAAGAAGTCGTGGTTCAGGGCGTCATCACTGTCGATGCGCTGGGCGGGATCCAGCACCAGCAACTTGTCGATGAGGTCCAGTGCATAGGGGTCACGCACATAGGCCTTCAGCCTGTCCTTCACCTTCCGCTTCTGGCCCTTGACCAGGTCCAGTTTCTCAAACAGCTCGTACTTGTCCACATTTGGCCACACCTGGGGTGGGAGGCATGGAAAAGAGAATGTAGTCAGTTCAGGGGGTGCGAGGCTGGTCCACCGGTCAAGCACTTGAAGGGACTAAACGCTCTCCGTTCAGAAGCTCCCAGACCGCCCCTGGAGGGCAAACTTGACCCCTCCAAGGTGAAAGCAGCAGGAACAACATATTTGGCAAACGCCAAGTACCGGGCTCTTTGACACAAATTGTCTGGCGTATGTGCACCAAGACTGATAGAACCAGTTGTCTCACAGCAGAGCAGCTCAGCTCTGAAGTGAGGGGCTCAGACGCCCTCCCCAAAGCCACAGAACTAAAGGGATGCAGCCGAGACTTGAACAGTCTGTGTGGCTCTAAACAGCAGACCCCAACCAACCACCAGCAACTTCTCTAGAATGGAGCTTTTCCTCTATTCAGCACCCACCCCTCCCCTGCCAGGAAGACTTCTCTGCAGCCCGTGCGGCCCAGGGGCCCAGGCAGCCCGGCTCCGTACCTCAGGAGTGATGGAGCCACAAAGCTGGCTGATGAGGGCAAGCTGGTGCTGCTCTGTGTTGCCCTGCATGATAGGGCTGCGGGTCCACATCTCTGCCATGATGCACCCAGCACCCCACAGGTCAATGGGGGGGCCGTAGTCCCGCTCCCCTGAGAAGAAGAGCACACCAGGAGGGCCCCTTGAGCCCGACAGCCTCCTGAGAGGCAATGCCCCCGGGCCGGGGGCTCAAGAAGCCCTGGCAGCGGGGGGCTGAGGCCGGGTAAGTGCCCAGCCCCTGCTTCCCTCTGCCAGCTCGGGAGAGTCCTCACCGAGCAACAGCTCCGGGGGCCGGTACCAGAGCGTCACCACACGGTTGGTGTAGCGGTTGGGCTGGCTATTCTTGGCCAGGCTGAAGGCCCGGGCCAGCCCAAAGTCTGCCAGCTTCAGAACTCCATCGCGGGTGATGAGCACATTAGCCGCCTTCATATCCCTGTGCAGGATCTGCAGGAAGCACAAAGGCGAGGGTTCTCGGGGGTCCTTTAGCCACACCCACCCCACAGTGAGAGCAAAGGCCAGCCCAAGCCTTGGTCTCTCCTCCCCTACTCTGGCCCCCACCTTGTTCCTGTGGATGTAGTAGAGACCATTGAGCAACATCTGCATGACCCTCTTGATCTCAGACAGTGTGAACTTGACTAAGACGTTGCTCAGCAGCCCGGCAAGGTCATGCTCGCAGAAGTCAAAAACCAGGTATATACTGCCTTTGCAGCGGTTATAGGGGGAAGCTGAGACCAGAAGAATGAGGGGGACAGAGAGGGACAAGAAAAAAATCAAAATTCTCATATGCAACTCACTTTCCCACAAGCAGCTCCTACCCTCTCCAACCTATGGACCCCTGGATATCCAGGTGCGAATTCCTTCACAGGTAAAATATTTTCTGAGCGCCTTCTCTGGGCTGGGTACTGCGGCAGGCCCCGAGGAGGCACCTGCTCTGATGAAAGGGCCACAGAAAGCAGTCACACTTGGTACGTCTGGGTTAAGAAGAGGCAATGTAAGTGTGTCCAGTTCCAACTTTTGCAAACAAAACCTTAAGCAATAAGCCTCATTTCCTCCATCTGAAAATGGGGATGAGATCCGAACAACTTACCTTTGGTTCGACAGATCTCAATCAAGTTGACCACATTCTCGTGTTTTAGAAGCTGGAGGATCTTGATTTCCCGCAAGGCTGTAATGGGGAACTGGGTGGGAAAAAGACAGGAGAAGGTCAGAAGTGGGTGAGCGCACCACAGACCAAGGAACTGGCCAGGGAGTCCACAGGAAGGGTTAAAGGTTGGGAGACAGAGTAAGAGCGTAGGCTCTGAAATTAGCTGTCTCAAATGCCACATTTGTAAAATGGGTGTAATAGTATGTACCCCTCAAGGAGCTGGTTTCAGACAACGAATTGAAATAGCGATACTTCACACAAATGCTCTATTACTAGTTATTAAATACTCCACAGTTTCTTCAACCTTATAAGTTTTAGCTCTATGCCTGTGTTTAACTGTGAGATGGTTAACAAATACAAAAATAAAGAAACAAGTCTCTTGAAAGCTGGACCAGAGCTAAGATGGGGTGGGGGGTGGAAGGCACTGTTGTTTTTCAAGTGAATACCAGTCACCCTTTTAAAGTCATTGCATATAACTTATTATTATTTTACATTCAACAAAATTAAACCCTAAAAAAAAGTGCTCAAAGCCTTCCTAACTTCAGGAACCAAGGTGCACTCCGTGCAAGCATGGGCTCCCCCTCCTGCCACCAACCATATTCACCTATGAATGAAATATGAAGCGGCTTTAAAACATTTGAATTGAGAGATTTAACTTGGAAGTCAAATTCCCTGGAATATGGAAATTTCCAAACACGTAAACTGAACTTATACGTGAGAGTCCCAGAAGCAGCAGGGTGGAAACCCAACCTCACGCCCAAGGGAGCTGGCCGACCTGCCCACCCCACCCGTACTCACCCCCTCCTTCTCATTCTCCATCAGTACCTTCTTCAGAGCCACTTTTTGGCCGGTCTTGCGATGCTTTGCCTTAAACACCTCCCTGCAGGCCGAGAGGGGGACCCAAGAGAACTCTTCAGGCCATTTCCGCAGGGCCCGCCCCTCCCCCACCAGAGGAGAACAGGAAAGGGAATCCGGGCGGGGCTGGGCCGGGTACCCAGGGCACTCTGCTACCCCACCACGCGGTGTCTTCGGTCCCTCTCCGAGCCTCTACCTCCTTCCCTCTGCCCCTTCTCCTCACCCGGGAGTCTCACGGAGAGATACCGTTCCACTCACATGCTCCTCTCTGCAACCCCTCCCTGCCCCCCATCAAGGGCCTCAAGCTCCTCCCCGCCAGCCAGCTCTGTCAGGCCCGGGCGGGCTGCGGCGAGGCCTAGCGAAACCACGGGACAAGTCTGTGACTAAATGGCTTCCCGACCAACTGGGCCCGGGCCTGGGCGTCCCAACGTCTGCCCGGAGGGGTGCAGGCTCAGGGCTCCCGGTCCCTGGGGGCCAAGCCTTACCCGAAGGTGCCTTGGCCGATTTTAGCGAGCTTCTCATATTTGGACACCTCATCACAAAAGGGGCATTCCACCGAGTCGTACTGCTTTGCCATGGCCGCCTCCACTGCGCCGCCACCACCTCCAGCCGCCGCCGCCGTCGCTGCTCCCGCTCCGGGTCCCACCGCCGTGCTCCAGGCCCCTCCGCGGCCGCGCCACTTCCGCCTCCACGGCCACTTCCGGCCTCGCGGCGCCGACCCCACCTCTTCCGCCCGCCGCCCGCCGCCAGGCCCCCTGGGACTTGTAGTTCCCGAGAGGCCAGGAGGAGCCGGAGCTGCAGAGGCGCCTCCGCCACCGCCGCTGCCCCCGCCTCCGCCGCCGCCACTGCTGGCGGCGGCCCCGATCGGGGGCGCGGGGAGCCGGGGCGCCGGGGCTGGGGCTCGGGGTGGTGCGTCCCGCTGCATCGGCTTGGGCCGCCGCCGCTGCCGAAGCCGCTGCCGCTCTGGCGCCCGATCCGGGGCCAGCCGCAGTGCCCTGCTCCTCCTCCTCCGACGGCACCGCCTCCGCCAGGCTGCGCTGGGCGCGGGGCGGGGGGGCGGCCCCCGAGCCGCGGCCTGGGGGCTCCCTGGCCGGGCCCGGGCCCGGGACGGCCGGGCGAGGGGGCCGGACGGGAAGAGCCGATGAGGAGGCGGCCCGAGAGCCCGGGAGGGGGCGCGTTATAAAGGGGGAGGTGCCCCAGCCTCGCCCTCCCCTCCCCCTCCTCCCGCCCCCTCG